GCCAATCCGTGGTTGAATCTTAGGAATGGACAGTGTCTCAAGCTCACTCACGTTTCATGACCAACTGGTAGTTGGCACTGAAAAACTTTTCAGGGCTGTGTGAATTGTGCGACTGATTGTCCTAGATGCACTACTTTATTTAAAAAATAATGTTCATAAGGAGTCAATATGTAGTTTAAGAGACAATCAGTGTGTGTCTTATATAAATGGTACATCTGTGGTTTTTAATCTGTGCTAGACTTCAAAACTGTGATCTCCTGTTATTGTATGCAACCTTGAACTCCACCTCTGCAGGGGTTCTTCTGTGATTAAATAGGTTATAATTATAAGCAAATTCAGAGCAACTGAGTACTTATCTAAAAAGATTACCTTTGGCTGGAGGTGAGCTGCACTGAAACTTTACAACAAAATGTCTCTGGACAAGGAGAGTGAGAGAAGAGAAACAGAAGGACACTAATTCATCTGTAATTTACTGTTGGTAAGCCTAGCAGTAAAGAGACATTGGTCAATTGCTCTGACCCTGATGAATTTATAGACTGAGATCATTGTCGTTTATGCTTGCAGATGTTAACTGGAAAAGTTATATATGCATAAACCTTTTCTTCCTGGATTTGGCAGATATGTATAATTATATTAAAATGGTTCTAGCACAATGTTGGGTCCAGTTTAATTTTATGCCACTATTTATGGATGAGAAGCCCATATTCAGCCTCTCCTTCCCTAAACATATTTTATTTAGGTCAGAGAGGAAATCCATAAACTCTATTTAAAAAGCATTTTTGGCTTCACCAATGGATGAACTAGATACGAGTGACTGTGGCATGTCCACTTTGTGTGACTTCCATCAGGACTGCTCTGGAATAGAATATAGGGAGCCTAACAATCATTAGGATCTTGTTCTCCTTGCCGCATGCCATGGTGATTTCTTAGGCACTGTATTGGTACCTTTTAACATAGCTCATTTCTTTTTTAGCGAGACAGGGAGAACTGTAGTACCTCGGAGAAAATGGGAATGGCAAGAATTCCTTGTTTTTATTCTCTCATTTAAGGGGATTTTTTATTTTTTAACTTCCAAAAAAATCTGAGGTGAACATGAGAGGGAATGTAATCAGAATCTGAAAGCAGTTCAGGCAGAAATGATTTCTGAACAAAAGAGTTCCAGAAAAGTTTTAAAACCTATAATTTCAGTAGTTGAACATAAGGCACCCTGGTCAGTTTTGTTTTTGTTTTGTTTAAAAGAAAGTGCTGAGGAAAAGAAAATAGGTCCCTT